TAACAGGAATTATATAGAAAAAATAAGAAACCCCAAGGGAGAAACGGTTCATTCTACTAAAGAGATCGCCAAGGTGTTTAAGGAATATTATAGCAAGCTGTATAATATTACTTCCCAGGATTCAATAAATAAAAGTGGAAATGCGAGTAGAGAAAAAAGGATATATTTAAAAACCCCTGGACTATCGAAGTTAAGTGAAGATCAACTGATTTTCCTCGATTTAGAAATTACGCAGGAGGAAATAAAATAGCATTAAAAAGTACCACGATGGGGAAAAGCCCAGGCCCAGATGGTTATACTGTGAGGTACTATAAAAAATATAGTGAATTGTTGATACCGAAATTGAAGAAATATATGAACGCTCTAGGTGGGGAGATGGAGATGAGGCGAGAATCTTTACAGGCCCATGTGGTGCTTATTCAAAAGGAAGGGAAAGATGCTTCTCAGTGCTCTAGCTTTAGACCAATCTCACTTTTGAACATAGACACTAAGTTATATGCAAAGGTTTTAGCAAATAGGTTGAAAGATTTAATGCCAGAATGGATCCAGGGGGACCAGGTGGGATTTGTACAGGGGGACGGAGGGTAGAGAAAATGGGTTGAGAACTTTGTTGCTTATCCAAGAAGCCAGGAAGGGGAAAACTCCAGCGGTGGTGCTTTCAATTGACGCTGAAAAAGCATTTGATAGAGTAGATTGGAGTTTTATGATGGACACTCTGGAGACTCTAGGATTGGGAGTTAGAATGAGAGAGTGGATAGGAAAATTGCCCTCCTCGGTTATTTTGGTAAACGGAGAGAGGTCGGAACCTACTGGGATGTCAAATGGAACAAGACAGGGATGCCCACTGTCCCCCATTGTTGTATGTATTACCATTGGAACCTTTACTGGCAACAATTAGGAAAAATATGGACATAAAAGGAATACAGATAGGAGGAATTGAACATAAAGTGGCTGCCTTTGCGGACGATCTGTTGTTCTATGTGGGAAATCCTAGGATAACACTCCCAAATTTAATGAAGAGTTTAAAGGATTATGGGGAGTTATCAAATTTGAAAATTAACCCAACAAAAACTGAGATCTTAAATGTAAATCGTCCAAATAGTGAAAAAGAAAAGATACAAAAAGAATTCCCTTTTATATGGAAAGAGAGAGATAAAATATTTAGGGGTTAAACTCACTGCTTCACATACGAACTTGTATAAGTTAAATTACATCTCACTTTTAAATGAGATTAAGGAGGAACTGAGGAATTAGGAGGAGGTAACCTGTCTTGGATAGGGCACATAAATCTGATAAAAATGGTAATTGTACCTAAAATCCTATATAAATTCCAGATGATTCCAATTAGGCTTCCGGAGGTTTTTTTTTAAGGTAATTAAGATGTTAACAAGATATATATGGAAAAATAAAAAACCTAGAATATCTGATGATTTGTTGAGTAGAAATAAAGAGAAGGGAAGATTGGGAGTGCCAGATATCAAGAGGTATTATAGAGCAGCAGTTCTCGCAAGAATTTATGACTGGACACACAATCCAGAGGGAAAAAGGTGGGTTAAAATTGAAAATGAATTAAGCGGATTTAACTTGAGTAAAAATCATATGGGTACCAGCACAATATAGAGGATTAAAAGATACCACGAATGTTTATACATTAAATGTTTTAAGGGTTTGGGATATATTGCACAAGCTTATGAAGTGGGATTTTAATTCACAATTAATGTCACTGAGGAACACAAAGTATTTACCCCCAGCTAGGGAGGAGAGCACAGGAAAATGGTTTAAAAAGGAGGATATTCAACTGAGGGATATTATGGAAGGGCAGGAATTGAAAACACTTAAGGACTTGAAAAAGGACAAAAGGGAACTTTTTATTAGGATAGATGAGTGGCGATATCACCAATTGAAACACTTTGTTGGGAGTCTTCCGAAACCTTTGAGAGTGAGAAAGGATTGGAATATGTTTGAGAGGTTGTTGGAATCACGTGGAGATGGGAAACTGGGCAGGGCAAAAGTTTATAAGATTCTCACTGAGTTAGACACACACACAAAGCCAACAAAATGGGAAAGGGACTTGGGAATAGAGATAGATGAAGATAAACAGAGGAAAATATATAGATTAACACACAAGAACGTAAGTATGAGAGAGGTGGAGGTAAATTATAAGTGTTTAACAAGATGGCACATTTCACCGAACGTAGAATGTAAGATGAGTGGGGAGAATACACCAGAGTGTTGGCGGGGGTGTGGAAAGATAGGTACATTATACCACATATGGTGGGAGTGCCCAAAGATTCAAGGTTTTTGGGAGACAATGGTTCGCTTAATTGGAATAATCTCTGGGATAAAGATAGGATTGGATCCAGAGTTGTGTTTGGTACAGAGTTATCAGTGAACAAATACAAAGTGTCAGGGCTCCCAGGTATGACCAGAGGTGTGTGACTGAAGCAGGGAAACGCAGACCTCAGATATGTTATAAACAATATAATTTATTAACACTAACAGTACAAACATAAACGCAGTGCAATACTAAAACATAATACGGTGCAAACAAACCAAACCACCCACAAATAACAGTATATACAAGCAAGCGTCGTCAGGCAGGCCGGGTCAATATCAATTGGGCAGGTAGGTACAGGGGAGCAAGCGGAGAATGGTCGGGGTCACAGGCCAGGTTCAGCAGGTAGCAAGCAGCATAGTACAGAGGGTCAGGCAGAGGGATGGTCCGGGTCACAAGCCAGGGATCAGAACAGGTAGCAAGCAGCGTAGTACAGAGGGTCAGACAGGGGATGGTCAGGGTCACAAGCCAGGATCAGAGCAGGAGAAGTCAGCAAAGGAACAGAAACAGGATGCAGGACAGATACAGGGCCCAGGACAAACACAACACCAAGGCAGAGTCTGCAAGTCTGGCCATCCCTTAAATACACCAGTATCATCTGTTCCAGGTGTTAGCTGGCTGAAAGGTTGAGTCTCTGATTGCTGGGAGCACCCGCTGGCCAGCCCTGGTACTGCAGATCAAAAGGCAGGTGAGTCCCACCATTGCTGGCCAGTCCATTCCTAACAGTACCCCCCCCTCAAGGAGCGGCCTCAGGACGCTCCAAACAGTCCTAGCTGGGCAAAATGTTCCACCGCCCGGGTCTGGCAACTGGGCGGGATATCAAAGACTGGCACACCGGGCAGGACTCCGGGCAGCGGCACACACACCGGGCTGGACTCCGGGCAGAGGCACATCGAGCAGAGGCACATCGGGCAGGACTCCGGGCAGAGGCACATCGGGCAGGACTCCGGGCAGAGGCACACCGGCAGAGGCACATCAGGCAGGACTCCGGGCAGAGGCAATCAGGCAGGACTCCGGCAGAGGCACATCATCGGCAGGGGACTCCGGGCAGAGGCACATCGGGGCAGGACTCCGGGCAGAGGCACATCGGGCAGGACTCCGGGCAGAGGCACATCGGGCAGGACTCCGGGCAGAGGCACATCGGGCAGGACTCCGGGCAGAGGCACATCGGGCAGGACTCCGGGCAGAGGCACATCGGGCAGGACTCCGGGCAGAGGCACATCGGGCAGGAACTCCAGGCAGAGGCACATCGGGCAGGACTCCGGGCAGAGGCACATCGGGCAGGACTCCGGGGCAGAGGGCACATCGGGCAGGACTCCGGGCAGAGGCACATCGGGCAGGACTCCGGGCAGAGGCACATCGGGCAGGACATCCGGGCAGAGGCACATCGGCAGGACTCCGGGCAGAGGCACATCGGATACCAGGGCGGGGCAGCGGGGCCTCCGCGGAGCAGAGGCACCGGGCCCCCGGGCGGAGCAGCAGGCAACCGGGCCCCCGGGCGGAGCAGCAGGGCACCGGGCCCCCGGGCGGAGCAGCAGGCACCGGGGCCCGCCGGGGCGGATCAGCAGGCACACGGGCCCCCGGGCGCGGGGCTACAGGCACCGGGCCCCCGGGCGGAGCAGCAGGCACCGGGCCCCCGGGCGGAGCAGCAGGCACCGGGCCCCCGGGCGGAGCAGCAGGCACCGGGCCCCCGGGGCGGAGCAGCAGGGCACCGGGCCCCCGGGCGGAGCAGCAGGCACCGGGCCCCCAGGCGGGGCGACAGGCACCGGGCCCCCAGGCGGGGCGACAGGCACCGGGCCCCCAGGCGGGGCGACAGGCACCGGGCCCCCATGGCGGGGCGACAGGCATTGTGCCCCCAGGCGGAGCGGCAGGCGCCGGGACCCCCAGATGGAGCGACAGGTCTCGGGCCCTCAGGCGGAGCGGCGGGCGCCGACCCCCCAGGAGGAGCGACAGGTCTCGGGCCCTCAGGCGGAGCGGGGGGGCGCCGGACCCCCAGGTGGAGAGCGACAGGTCTCGGGCCCTCAGGCGGCGAGCGGCGGGCGCCGGACCCCCAGGTGGAGCGACAGGTCTCGGGCCCTCAGGCGGAGCGGCGGGGCGCCGGACCCCCAGGCGGAGCGACAGGTCTCGGGCCCTCAGGCGGAGCGGCGGGCGCCGGACCCCAGGCGGAGCGACAGGTCTCGGGCCCTCAGGCGGAGCGGCGGGCGCCGGACCCCCAGGAGGAGCGACAGGTCTCGGGCCCTCAGGCGGAGCGGCGGGACGCCGGACCCCCAGATGGAGCGGACAGGTCTCGGGCCCTCAGGGAGGAGCGGCGGGCGCCGGACCCCCAGGTGGAGCGACAGGTCTCGGGCCCTCAGGCGGAGCGGCGGGCGCCGGACCCCCAGGAGGGAGCGACAGGTCTCGGGCCCCCAGGCGGGGCGGCGGGCGCCGGATCCCCAGGCGGAAGTGGAGGAGTGGCGGGCGCTGGACCCCCAAGCGGAGCAAACAGGTCTCGGGCCCCCAGGCGGAGCGGCGGGCCACCGAGACACCAGGCACGACAGTGGGCTCCGAGTCAACTGGTATGACCGCAGGCACTGGGTCAGACATTGGATGGTCTGGCTGGACAGGGGCATCGGGTCACCAGGCATCAGGTCATTTGGCTCGACAGCGGGCACCGCGTCATCTGGCAAGGCAGTGGGCTCCGAGTCAACTAGCATGACCGCGGGCACCGGGGCAGACATTGAATCGTCTGGCTGGACAGCGGGCATCGGGTCACCAGGCATCAAGTCATTTGGCTCGACAGCGTAGCACCGCATCATCTGGCAAGGCAGTGGGCTCCGAGTCAACTGGCATGACCGCGGGCACCGGGGCAGACATTGAATCGTCTGGTCCTGGACAGCGGGCATCGGGTCACCAGGCATCAGGTCATTTGGCTCGACAGCGGGCACCGCGTCATCTGGCAAGGCAGTGGTCTCCGAGTCAACAGGCACGACAGTGGGCACCGGGGTCATCAGGTAACGGATTGTCTGGCTCGACAGCGGGTATGCAATCGGGTCATCAGGTATGACAGCGGACACTAGGTCAACCAGGCATCAGGTCATTCGGCTTGCCAGCGGGCACCGCGTCATCTGGCAAGGCAGTGGGCACCGAGTCACCAGGTACGACAGCGGGCTCTCATTGAGTCAATTGCACGACAGCGGGCACCGGATCAGGTACCGGATCATCCTGGATCAACAGCGGGCATCGAGTCAACTGGCCTAATAGGATCGTCAGGCTGGATCAGTTCATCATGCTGGGTAGAGGCATTAGGCCGAGTAGAGGCTTCAGGCCGAGTAGAGGCATCAGGGGCGAGTAGAGGCATCAGGCCGAGTAGAGGCATCAGGGCTGAAGAGAGGCATCAGGCCGAGTAGAGGCATCAGGCCGAGAGTACAGGCATCAGGCCGAGTACAGGCATCAGGCCGAGTACAGGCATCAGGCCGAGTAGAGGCATCAGGCCGAGTACAGGCTTCAGGCCGAGAGTAAGGCTTCAGGCCGAGGGTAGAGGCTTCAGGCCGAGTAGAGGGCATCAGGCCGAGTAGAGGCTTCAGGCTGAAGAGAGAGGCATCAGGCCAGGTCCGAGTACAGGCATCAGGCGAGTAGAGGCTTCAGGCCGAGTAGAGGCATCAGGCTGCGTACATGCATCAGTCTGAACCACGGAAGGCAGGCTCACCGGTTTGGATACTGGCAGGATGGTATTGGTTGGAAAGAATTTTCGCTTTTTTCTGGTTTTAACTACTGGAGCACTGCAAGTAAACGCAGGTCTGCAAACGAATGGAGCAGCTGGAGACAGAAGAAGAACTGGAGGATGGAAACAGGAGAGGGAGCGGTTGCTACAGAGGGCTTTTTTTACAGGGTTAAAGGCAGGATAGGTGCAGCGAGTGGGAACAGGGTACTGACCATGCGGTAGATAGCCATGTATACTGGGCTGTAACTGGAGGAGCTGGTGGGAATACAGGAGTAGAGTTAGAAGCAGGACTGGGTTTTTGTAAGCTGACTGAGGCTCTGGGTGCAACAAGTCTGTCCATGTCTGCAGTATGGTTGAACAAAGCTGAGCTTACACAAAGTCTGTCTGGTCAATGACTGCACTGCGTTTATACAATCTCTTAGTGTCTGTGGTGAACATGTGGAATAACGCTCCAGAAAGTAACCCACATCATCCTCTAATAACCACACCAGGGACTCTACCTGGTCTGCACTAAATGGTGGCAAAAATTCATCCCTGCATTCGGGGGAACCAGATGAAACCAACTCTGCACAAACCTCAATCAATGGCTGCACCTCAGAGAATACTGTGCCCTGATCTACTAGAACATGAGCGAGCCGTATTACATTCTAGCAGTTCATCCCGGGGATACTCCTTCAGAGTTTGATAAGCATAACTCCCTGTCATCAAACACTAGCAGATATAAATATTCAACCTCATCAAGATCCATCCTTCCCATCAACAAGCCAAGATGGCTTCCCTGTGCAGCCACTTCTGGTCAGGATTGGCCTTGGTGTAATGTCAGGGGGCTCCCAGGTATGACCAGAGGTGTGTGTGGACTGAAAGCAGGAAACGCAGACCTCATGATATGTTATAAACAATATAATTTATTAACACTAACAGTACAAAACATAAACGCAGTGCAATACTAAAACATAATACGGTGCAAACAAAACCAAACACCCACAAATAACAGTATATACAAGCAAGCGTCGTCAGGCAGGCCGGTCAAATATCAATTGGGCAGGTAGGTACAGGGGGAGCAAGCGGTAATGGTCGGGGTCACAGGCCAGGTTCACAGGTAGCAAGCAGCATAGTACAGAGGGTATGCAGAGGGAGATTGGTCCGGGTCCACAAGCCAGGGATCAGAACAGGTAGCAAGCAGGTAGTACAGAGGGTCAGACAGAGGGATGGTCAGGGTCACAAGCCAGGATCAGAGCAGGAGAAGTCAGCAAAGGAACAGAAAATCAGGATGCAGGACAGATACAGGGCCCCAGGACAAAACAAATAAACACCAAGGCAGAGTCTGCAAGTTCTGGCCATCCCTTAAATTACACCAGTATCATCCTGTAATAACCAGTATCATTGTTCAGGTGTTAGCTGGCTGAAAGGTTGAGTCTCTGATTGCTGGGAGCACCCGGCTGGCCAGCCCTGGTACTGCAGATCAAAAGGCAGGTGAGTCCCCACATTGCTGGCCAGTCCATTCCTAACACAAAGAAGTTTCGGGCATATTGGTATTATCTAAATCAGCGTTTTTCAACCACTGTGCCGCGGCACACTAGTGTGCCGTGAGATATTGTTGGTGTGCCGTGGGAAAAATTCCAATTTCATCTGTAACATGTGGCTTCGGCTCACAAATAGACCAATCATTAGAATCTAATGATTCAGTGGTCGGCAAGCCGCGGCTCGCGAGCCACATGGGGCTCTTTACCAGTCTATGCGGCTTTCTGTGTGAGGGGCGCCTGCTCCCCTCCCTCCTCTCGGTCGGCCGCTCCCCTGCCTCTCTCGGTTGGCAGCCCCAAAAGTCCGCGCGGACCTTTTAATCCGGCTTGCGGATGTGGCTGTCAGATGTGTGTAGGCGCGTTGGGGCAGGTGCCGAACGTGAGGGGAGGGGAGCTAGGCTCCTTCTCACAGTCCGCCCTGAAGACCCGAACGGCGCGGGAAGACAGCGAGAGGGAACGCAAAAGGTAAGTGAATTGACACGGGGGACTTGGCTTACTAGAAGGGGGGGGGGGGGGAATAGTACTGTGGGGATGAATATACTATATGAGGGATGAATTACTTTATGAGGGATGAAATACTATATGGGGGATGAAATACTATATGGGGGATGAATTACTATATCAGGGATGAATTACTATATGGGGATGAAATACTATATGGGGGGATGAAATACTATATGGGGGGATGAAATAATATATGGGGGGATGAATACTATATGTGGGATGAAATACTATATGGGGGGATGAAATTACTATATGAGGGATGAAAAACTAGATGGGGGATGAAATTACTATATGAGGGATGAATTACTGTATGAGGGATGAAATACTATATGGGGGGATGAAATAATTATAAAATAATTTCTTTGTGTTTGATTACTATTCAAGAGAATTACTTTATATATAGTCAATATAGGCACAGAGGTAATTTTTTTTAACATTTTCTAATGGTGGTGTGCCTCGTGATTTTTTTCATGAAAAAAGTGTGCCTTTGCACAAAAAAGGTTGAAAAAACACTGATCTAAATGCGGCAAAGGGTCTGATACCTAAGTTTTGGCATAGCTCAGAGGTGCCGAGAGAAGAGGATTAGGCGGAAAGAGTGAATCAGATATGTAGAATGGAGAAAAACTGTATTTTATGCAAGAAGACAAGATGGGGTTATATTATAGGAGGTGGGGAAAATGGGAAGATTTTGAGACCAAGGTGAAATACATGAAGCAGTAGAGTGGGATATGTGAAAGTACCCCTTATTTAGGAAAAGATGTAATGGAGAGATGCAGAGTGGGTGGTTTTATTTATTTATATATTTTTTTTGGGGGGGGAGGGGTAGGTTTCAGGGTGGGTGGGGGTATTAGATGGGTGGAGGAGGGTAATGGGAATAATGATAGCAGGGGATATAACTGATGGTTTTCTATGTTATATGAGAGTAATGATGGAACATGTATTTTATATGTAAAATGAATAAATATTTTAAAAAAAAAATGGAGGCATTTGGCCTATTTTGGGCTTAAAAAATCCCTAAACCGATATCTGCATGTCCCCAAATTCCCCATGGGGTCTGCAAGATCCGCCATATCCCAGATTACAAGAATTTCTAGTATAAGTGGACATCCAAAGTTGCCTATCTCCATACTGCCATCTTTCTTGCACACCAACACTTTCTACGCTTTGCTGTGGGAGAGCAACACTTTCAGTTTGTTCTTCTGAAAATCACTTTTACAAAATATCTATCATATAGGACTGCCACAGAAGTTCAAATATATATGGGTAAAAAAAAATAAGTATTGAAAACATCACCATTTTCCTATTGACTTGATATTTTCACCACATATCGGCAACAACCCATAAGAATCCATACAAATAAGTTCAGAAATAAAGTTACATGTAATGAAACAGAATGACACAGCGAAAAATTATTCAATATGCTAACTGAAATTTACAGCTTCAAGACACCTCCTGTATGGAGAAACTAGTCGCATGCATTGCTCAGGTGTGATTTTGGCCCATTCTTCCACACAAAAAATCTTCAAATCTTGAAGGTTCTTTGGGCCTCTTCTCTGAACTCTGATCTTTAGTTCTTTCCATAAATGTTCTATTGGATTCAAGTCAAGTGATTGGCTGGGCCAGACTAGCAGCTTTATTTTCTGTCTTTGAAACCACTTGAGAGCTTCCTTGGCTTTGTGTTTGGGATCATTGTCTTGCTGAAATGTCCACCCTTGTTTGATCTTCATCATCCTGGTAGATGGCAGCAAATATTTATCAAGAATGTCTTCGTACAATTTTCCATTCACTCTTCCTTCAATGATATGACCTCGGAACATGATGCGCATTATGGCATCCAAAAAGTTCAATTTTGGTCTCATCTGACCAGACTATATTCTCCCTGTATTTCACAGGCTTGTCTAAATGTTGTGCAGCAAACTGATTCAAACCGATGACCCTAGTACTGCCAGGTACTGCCCATGCATTGTGCTGTGCTGCCCATGCATTGTTTCTGACGTGGTAAAATTTTCATGTCAATAGCACCTTTACTGAGAAAAAGGTGATTTGTTCAATACTTTTTTTTTACCTACTGTGTGTGTGTGTATGTGTGTATGTATATACATAGATATATATGTACGATATATAATACAACCCCTGGCAAAAAGTATGGACTCAACACTTTCAATTGTTTAAATTGTGTAGAAAAAAAACAATCACAGACATGCCTCAAAACTATTTTCAGTTAACATTCCCATCATCTGCTTTTAAGAAACACTTAAAAAATAAAAAATAAAACTGTAGTCAATTGCAACTGTTTTTTCAGACTGAGCATAGGAAAAAAAACATGGAATCACTTAATTCTGTGCACCATTATACCCTCCCGGGTTAAAGGGAAAAGTGCAGTTTGACCTGTCATTATAGGTCAAACTTGGAG